TTTTTTCCCTATTAATTATTTAATATAAAATTTTTAAATTTCTAACTAAACGTCTTTTTTTTTGGGGGAAAAATATAATGAAACAAACGTTTGGCGTGGGGCGTTACATAAGCTTATGTAAAAAGTTATCACATATTAAATTGCAATTTAAGGATTTTTGGACAAAATATTTATTTATTTTTTGTTTTGGTAAATTACAGTTTTGCTGATGTGATTATATAATTTTGGGGAGGAGTAGTTGTGATATATTAGAAAAACATTATGGACTACGTGATGCGTACCTAAGATGGTCTCTAATATTGTGGATACGAATCCTGAGAAGACGATTTCTGGCGAGTGTGACAAAAATACTTTAAAATGGTGAGTTAGATGGTTACACACTGCTTCCATGGTCCTGTAATGAAGACAGGCCTCAGGGGAGGAGCAGAGAGCGTGGGAGAGCTCTGTGGGTGTGAAGTAAGTTAGAAATGAGCGAAATGTGTCCCACGCGATGGTGGGGGGAGGGATGCCGTGGTGGATTTTTTGTTTTAAATTACGTTGAATGTGTTGTCCGAGTGTGCTGCTGAAGGTGTGGTTTGTAATTACTAATATAGAGCCATTAAGAAGGTGTGGGAGGAGCACAGCAGCAGGCCTGCTGGCCCATGCTAGGCAGGTTCAACTCGGCCACTTAAGTGTTTCGACTTATATACGAATTTCAATATACTTGTCTAACTTATGTTTAAAGCTATCAGAGGTTTTTGCGCTGTATGACCCTTGTAGGTTTAGTGCTTTTTTATTATATCAGAGGTTCTTCAGTGATGCTGCTCGGGAGTTTGGTGATTAAGATGTACAACAGTTAGGTATCTTTATCTGCCTCTGTATCTGACTAAGAGGCCTACACAGTAGGCTTCTTCAGTCAGATACAGAGGCATCAGTTGTGGTAGTGAAATAAAGTTGATGTAATCAGTCCATCAACCTTGGAGAAAAAGTATTTGAGGTGGTCAGTCCCTCAGCCTGGAGAAGAGCTCAGCAGTCTCTGTATTTGGTTGAAGATGCCTACTGTGTGGGCGAAACGTTTCACCAATAAAGATACCAAAAAATAACGAAAAAAGACACAATACCATTTTCAGCAAGGGAGTTTATTCCACTCATGGTAACAATGTTCAATGTGTCCGTAGCTCGGTTGCTAACACTCAGCTCACACACTGAGTTCCGGAGTTTGAATCTGGTATGGCTGGAAAACAGAAGATGTGTTTCTGTATGACACTTGCTGTCCCTGTTCACCATCAGTATAAAATAGGTACCTGGGTATTAGTCAACTGGTGTGGGTCGCATCCTGGGACAAAACTGACCTAATTTGCCCGAAATGCTTTGCATAACCAATGGCTTTCTATAGAGTATGCCATTGATGTCAGCTATGCCTGTATACCTTGTAGAAATAAGGATATATTATTATTATACAGCCTCTTTTCACTTAATGACGGAGTTCCATTCCTAAGACCACATTGTTAAACGAATTTGTCACTAAGTGAGGAGCATACTATAATGGTAGTGAGTTTGTGTCAACCATCTTTGATATTGTTTTAATGTCACCTTTGCACCATTTTTAACATTTCTGGTATATTTTTAAATGTTTATACAGTAGTGTACTGTATATTGAAATAAACAGAATAGAGGAAATCATCTCTAATATATATTATTTAGGTACAAATACTGGTCAGAGAGCCCATCGTAAGTCGGAGGGATCAGTAAATGAGTACGTACATCGCTAAGTGAGGAGAGGCTGTATTGCACAGCAATACAGTCACTTTGAGTTTTTTGAGGTTATCCTGGGTAATTTACACTATGTATGATAATTGTACTGTGCCTAAATAAACTTAAGTTCTGGGAGTAACCCCAAAATTGCATTTTCAACCAATGGAAACAGTCATTGACTTGCTTGGGTTATCCCAGGTAATTAACATGCATGTTATTATGTAAGACAACTGTAATCATTCCAGAATTGTATAATTGTTCCTAAATAAATTTACTTAACCACGTTTAGGTTCAGCCAATAGTGGCCTGGGTCAATCATAACATACCAATAAAACTAAACATGATAATGGTGTACAATATCAACAAATTGATAATTAAGACACGTGCATGAGTTAGGTAACTTTATTCCGAAACGTTTTGCCTGTACAGTAGTGCCCCACTTGTACAGCAGGTTAGGTTCCAGGCTACTGCCGGAAAGCAGGCATCGCCGGAAAGCAGAACGCCATTTTTTTTTCACTTATAAATGCATGTATATGCCAGATAGCAAGTTTACACTAACATATATTAACCCTTTGACTGTCGCAACCCCCAATCCTGAGGTGTCTCCTGGTGTCGCAAAATTTAAAAAAAAAAATTATTTTTTCTTATGAAATGATAGAGAATCTTTTCCCGATTGTAATGACACCAAAAAAAACGAAATTTGATGGAAAACTGACGGAATTATGCTCTCGTGAAATTAGCGACCTTGGCGATATTTACAAATCGGCGATTTCGCCCACTTTGAGCCCTATTTTTGGCTAATTTCATTGTTCCAGTCGACCAAACTCATAGCTATTTTCTTTAGAAACTCCATTTTTTTCTATCGATTGAGTACAAGAAAACTGCCCATTTACCGATTTTCAACTACCCAATAATGTGGTCAGAAATTTGCAATTTGGCCAATTTCACGAAATTAAAAAATATGACAATTTCAAAATAAGGTCCAGAATGAACAATGCAGACATTCCTGGCTCTAAAATAACATTTTCTTTGTTCATCAGTCAGTTAGTTATCTGTTTACAATAATGTCTTATCACTGATTTCATCATTGCTTAGTTAATCTTAAGTTAATTTTAGCCAGCCTGTAATGCTATGCATATAAGTGGCTTTGGCATGCTGCTCTTACCTGTATTTTTTTGTACCTCTGTTTGTATGCTAAAATTTCTAAATAAATAAATAAATAAATAAATGTCTCCAGGCCCCTCATATTACTATTGCTTTCTATTTTGAATTTTTATTCCAACAAAAAATAGAAGACTTACTATTATGCAGACTACTGCAATACTGTAATAAATGTATAAATAACATCAACCCATTCATGACTGCATATTACAATGGCTAGTTGGACATTTATTGGACAATGACATCATTTGTTTACTTTTGAACATTGGCAAAAATCAAACATTTCCCCTACTTTGAGCTCCATTTCCAGGTTCTTTTTATAGTAAAATCAATCAAAATCACCTCTACTTCTATAATATGTTTTCCATTCTATCAAATGAGACCAAGAAAATGAGAATACAACCATAAATACTAACAAAAATAGACCACAAATTCGGCATTTTAATTAAAAAAAAAAGGGCGGAGTTTTTTTTTTCTTATTATGCACTGCGTGCTCCAGGATTTTTTTATTGGTGCACACTGACCACACAGACCCATTTTTCTTTACATGTGGCTACCAGCTTTCTCTGCTTGATTTGAAGCCGCAGAATTTATGAGTACGTATATATACGTCAAACACGGTACC